GCACTTGCTGCTTGGCCGTCAAGCTTGGAAAGGTCTTCAAAGATTACTTTATCCTGCTGTGCTTAAGTAACCAGAAGGAAATGGCTCCCATCTCATTACTCAGGTTCACCTTGAATAACCCTTGCCTGTAATGAGTTGATGGCTGCAGTTGGTCAGCACAAGCATTTTCTGGGCAGTGCATTCTCTAGTGCTGTCCCCAAAATTCCCTCCTGCCTCTGTTTCCCCCCCACACAGACACAGAGGTGAACAGAAGGATCCTCATGTGCTGGTTTTTCCTCCCTTGCTGTTAGTTTGGGACTGATGGAGATGAGATCASAGTGTCCCCASACTGCTTTTTTCTTTTTCTTCTTTTAATGCCATTCAGCTTAGAAGTCTCCTGCTGCTCGTGTCACTGCTCTGTTCAACCTGGTTGCTGCATCAGAAAAGGAAGGAAAGCTTTGATCCTGCCATGCCCTTCTTCTCTGTCCCCTTTGCAACTTCTGCAGGAAAACAAAAACATGATTAAGTGCATGTGTGGTGTCAGTCCTTTCAGGGAAGAAGAGCTGCTTTTATCAGATGTCTTCCCAAAACCTTTCATGCCCTGGTGAAGTCCAAGTTGAAGTGTCAGAGGACAGACCCAAGCACTGACATTTTCAAACACTGCTCTTAGAAGTGTCCTCTTCAATCCAAAGTGGATTTARGCAAATCTGCAACAGCTTTGGAGAAAGACCCTCATTATTTGGCTTGCCCTTCACCATCCATGGGTTTAAATTTATCTGTCCCTTGGATCTTCTCTCYGACTGTTTAAATTTGTGGATATATTTTCCTCCTTACTTGTGAGCATGTGTGCACTTTTTCAAGAGGTCCAAGTTTAAACAAATGTACTTTCAGTCTCATTTAAACTCACTGTGTGCCCAATTCCCCTCACCAGCTTCAGGAGTGAAATTGTTACTTGGCTCAAAAGCCTTGCCTCTAACTTGAAATGAAAAAGGCCCAAATTACCATCAGCTAACTCACTGTTGATGTATAGTTTCAAAGGAYTAAATTGAAAAATGTTGTTACAATGGTGCTGTGGTCTCTGGGGGATGTCCTCTGTGCACAGGAGAGTTTGGTGCTTCTTTCAGRATTCCAGTAAAGGCTCTCAGGTGCCATTCCTGGCCTTTCATAGTCACCTGCACAGAAATGGGCTTTRATATAGTTGTTCTAAGACAAGTTTTTCCTTTTTTAATTTTTTTTTTAAGTGGAAGTCAATAGGATAAAATAAAAAGGAAGTCAAGCTTTCTATTTCCTACATGGCCCTTCGTCCATCAGCCATTGATGAGAACAAGATAATCCCTTTTTACTGTTGCATTGCCATTTAATGCCATTTAATGCACGTGCTGTGTACTCAGTAAATRGAGCTGACCAAACTTTTATGCCATTTCTTCAATTTTTTTTCCACGTTAAAAAGAGAGAGAGGCAAGTACCACTTGAAAATGCGCAAGTGTAATCTTTTAAATGAATTTAATGTAGTACAATCTCATTTGCAATTGCAAGTAGAAAGGCTGTGGTTTCCCCCTTCACTCCAAATGCCTGAAAATCTCATTAATGTTAATGTATGGGGGAGAAGTGCTTAGCCTATTGATGGAGGAATGAAATCAGGAGCAAAGCACAGCTCTACAAAGATTCATCTGCAGATTAGGGTCTGAAGCAACCATTAGATTATCAAATCTGACCTTCTGTCTAATACAGACCACAGAATCTCATCCACTTAATTCTGTATTTATCCTAAGAACAGCATCAGAAAATCAAACACAGTGCATTAACATACCATAATGTAGCAATATATTCAGGCATTTTTCTCTTTTTTTTTCCTCCAAAATCAGAAGCAAACAGCACTACTGTGCTTATGATTGTTGATGAAAATCTTCATGAGGAAAGATTTCAGCTTTTTATCTGTTTGCAAAATTTCAGCTTTTTATCTGTTTGCAAAATTTCAGCTTTTTATCTGTTTTTATCTGTCTGTGTGTTTGCATGGGGTTTTATTTAGTTCTTTGAAAATTATTCACTGGTAGCTCTGACCAGTATAGAGCTGGTTGAGAACCATTAGTTYTCTTTTGCACTGAGGATATAATAAACTGAAATGGGGATTTTTTTTTTTAAATTTTTTTTTAACAGAAAAAGTAATTTTCTTGAAAAATCTGTGTGGTCCTTGACAACTGCATTCTAACATCTTACTTGGAAACTCTGCCAGTCAGTTTTCCTGGGAAGCACATTTCACATCTGGCTTCTCATCTCTTTGACCAGAACATAAAACTGCCCTTGAAGTGCACCTGGGAGGTGTCCAGGGGATCCCACACACACACAACAGACAAACCAAGCTGTCTGAAAGAGCTGCACTGGGCTACTGCACATTTTAACCATTAGCCAGAGTGGGGCAAAAAGAGATGAGGACAACAGCAGGGAGTTCAGAGAGAAGCAGGGGGTGGCAATGTGAAAAATTCAGAGGTTCCCAGG